TGGATGATTTGCAGAACATTTCTGCCTGTCTTTATCACCTGGCTGTGGGTGCGTTCAGTTTGTATTGAACGTTTGTTTGGATCCTGGAGGAGACGAAGGTCACGTGACACACGTCAATGTTCAGAATCTGACTTTGGTCAAAGTTCTCTGGCAAACAAGGAGCTGAAAACTCCTTCACTGCTCCTTCCCCTCTGCTCCACTTTACACCCAAACTCCTCCTCAGTTTCTTTCCTCTACTCCCACTCGTCCTCCGACTCTTCCTTCCTCATCTTTTCAGTTGTTCCTCTTGTTTTCCTCCTCCTCCTCCTCCTCCTCCTCCTCCTCCTCCTCTGTTCTTCAGTTCAATCTGCATCGGTCCATCCACACACAGAAAGGCTCTGTTTCCATGGAAACCGGCTCTCAACAGGATGTGATGATGAAGATGAGGAGGAGGAGGAAGAGTGAGAGCACAGCGGAGGAGGAGGATTATCAGGAGGAGGAGGGTGAAGATGGGGGAGTAGGAAGAGTGACGGAGGAGAGTGGACTCAGACTGAGGACGCAGCGCCGCAGAAAAGCAACGTTGACGCCAAACAAAGAGCATAAAACAAAAAGAAAGTTCATAGTACTGGGTACTGTTCGTAGTACCTGGTACTTTTTCTGCCAAATCTGGATATTGATTTTCTTAAACTCTTGGTTCTTCTCTTTGGAAATGCATTTAGTTACTGCCCCAGTACTGTGGGTTTTGTTGAGAACCATCCTCAGTTCCTAGTACTTTTATCGGTTCCAAGAGATACTGGTCTTATTTCCTAGTACCTGTGTTAGTACCTGGGTTAGTACCTGTGTTAGTACCTGTGTTAGTACCTGGGTTAGTACCTGTGTTAGTACCGTGCACTTGTCTCAGTTAGTGTGGATGTTCTCAGATCGTGGTTCTGATCAATTCTGAAGCTAACGTTAGCTTTAGCTGATGTTAGCCATCGCTAGGAGATGAACATATCTGCTAATGTTCAGCTAATGTTAGCTTAGCAACCTTAGAAAATAACTTCTGTATCTGCAGGTCGTTTCGGTTAATCTCGGTTTGTTTTCTTTTCTCGCTGTAGAAACGCTGCTGGACGACTTCATGTTGACTCATCCGATCTTCCTGACGTCCGACAGGTTCCAGCAAATTCTGCTGCAACAGTATCTTTAAGTCCTGCACAGGACAGGAGGGTCTTTACCCAAACCAACAACATTTTTTTTTCTTCCTTAAATAATTTGAATTCCTCTGCACAGAGCTGCAGCTCCCACCGCTCCACCAGGGGGCAGACTCTGTTATTGAACGTACGTTTTTAGAGCATAACCATTGAATTCAATTCAGTTGAACCTTAACTGTGACTCAGGTTCTCTGAGGGCACGGAGAGGAGGGAGGTGAGAGGCAAAGGAGGCCCAGGGAGGGAGGAGAGGAGAGAAGGAGAGATGGAAGGAGGAGAGAGGAAGCAGGCGGTGCTGAGTGTTGCCTTCAGGTACCTGGACACGTACAGAGAGCTGCTGCAGGAGGAGGGAGAGCGAGGGAACAGCTTCACCAAGGAGCTCTACATGTGCGCTCTGCGGGACTTGAGTCGCTTCCCTGAACTGGTGGAGGACGTTCTGAAGCTGCAGAGATGGACGGAGATTCTACACTGCCCGTGAGTCACACACACACACACACATAAACACACACACGTTTTCAGTCATTAAGTATAAAAAAAAGAAAATAGTTTAAGGGAATCTGAGTGAATATTAGCTTTAAATGGATAAAAATGTTTCAATCAACACAGTATCTGTATCTGCAGAGTCTCTGACATCAGGGTAAAATAGGCCCAGTAGGTGGCAGTAAAGATGCACATCAGATTTTGACTTGCTGATAAAGACCAGAGAAGTTCAGAATTAACTCAACACAAACACAGAATTTAAAAAAAATGTATAAGTAAGATAATAAAAAAATCAAGGTTGAAGGTTGGTTGACAGAATGTGTGTGTGTGTGTGTGTGTGTGTGTGTGTGTGTTTCCAGCTCTGATGAGGAGAAGGAGAGCAGGAAGAAACAGGTCCGTCCTCTGTTCAGACACTTCAGACGCATCGACGCCTGTCTGCAGCCCAGAGAGGCCTTCAGGGGCTCCGACGAGAGTACGACACACACTCACACACACACTTACACACACACACACACACGTTGTCGTTGTTGTTGTTGTCGTTGTTGTCGTTGTTGTTGTTGTTGTTGTTGTGAACGACGTCACCACGAAACATCGTCACAGAAACAACAACAACAACAACAACAACAGCGTCTGCTCCGTGTGTCTCCCCGCTGACCTGTTGGTGTCCTCCGTCTGGTCCGTGTGTCCTCAGTCTTCTGCAGGGTCTACACCCAGGACCACTCCTACGTCACCATCAGGAGTCGTCTGTCCTGCCGGGTCTCTGAGATCCTGGCCCTGGTCCGGGAGAAACTTCAGTTCAGCGAAGATCAGCCCGTCCTCCCGGGGAACCTGATCCTGGTGGCTGTGACATCATCGGGAGGTACAGGCTCAGCCATGATGATGTCACCGTGACATCATCAGCCGTTAACGGGACTTTGACTTTTGATCAGTGACTGTTGACAGTGTTACTGTGATTATTGATTAGTGTGTGTGTGTGTGTGTGTGTGTGTGTGTGTGTGTACAGAGAAAGCTGTGTTCCGTCCCACTGACGAAGCCGTCTTCACTACACTGGGAGTCAACACACACCTGTTTGTGTGTGAACCCTCTGAACTGGACTCACTGGTGAGGAACTCAATGACTGATGGATCCATTGATTGATTAATTGATTAATTGATTGATGTTTTTCGACTAATAATCATTTAATTCATTCATGAATAAAATACTCTCATAAACCTGAATTATTTAGAACAGAGAACCTCTCTCCTTGCTTTTGCTGCTCCGCCCCCCAAAGGCGTGGAGGCTCAGTGAACATTTGTCAGACTTTGTCTTTGCTTTATACAATAACGTGATGATGTCATCGCCCTCAGCTCCCCCTGCCTGAAGAAATCCACTGGACGCCCGGAGACAGCAAACTGCACGACATGTCAGCGGAGGAGGTGGCCAATCAGCTGGCAGTATTTGACTGGGAGCTCTTCAGCTGTGTCCACGAGGTTGGTACCCCAAAAATAGGTGAAGCTTAGCCACGAATACCTCTTATTTTTAGCTCAGAGGTAGCTGAGGTTCAGTCAACGATGTCCGTGAGAGAAGGTCAGGGATGGAAACAAACGTTGACCAAAGTATAGAATTTTAAGTTACGTGTAGAAATGTCAAAAAAATCAAATCAAGTTTGGCTCAAATAGCCAAAAGACAGAACTTGTTAGCCAAGAAAGTAGCGTGAATGTCAAGCCAAGAAGTTGACCACAGTTGGCCAAACTATTTTGTGGTTTCTCGGAATCAAACCTGGTGACGTAACATATATAGTTGAAAAGTAAAAATATATAATATTTTGACGTCTCCTCTGCTTTTCTTGCCGTTGCCCACAGGTGGAGTTTGTGTGTTATGTGTTTCACGGTGAGCAGTCTCGCTGGCGCCCCCTCAACCTGGAGCTGGTACTACAGCGTTGCAGTGAGGTGCAGCACTGGGTGGCCACGGAGATCCTGCAGTGCCAGTCTCTGCCGAAGAGGATGCAGCTGCTGCGCAAGTTCATCAAGATCGCAGCACTGTGAGTCCAACATGGCCGACGACCGGGCTAGCAGCTAAGAGTGCTAATGCTGCCAGTGCTAATGCTCAAACTGCCATCGTTGCTGACTCTTAGCTACTTTTGGGGTGTGTGTATTTGTGCTAAACGCTGCAGGCTAACCTTTAGCTCTGTCGTGGTGGTCGTTTCAGCTGTAAGCAGCAGCAGGACCTCCTGTCCTTCCTGGCTGTGGTTCTGGGCCTGGATAATCCAGCCGTGGGCAGACTGAGACTCACCTGGGAGGTAAAACTACCTGGACGTGGATGTAGAAAATAAGAATCAAATTTAATACTAAAGATAAAACTTTATGTTGTGTGTGTGTGTGGTGATTCAGGGACTCCCTGGAAAGTTCAGGAAACAGTTCCAACAGTTTGAAAACATTGCGGTGAGTAAATGTGTGACCTTTTTTTTTTTGTTTTTTGTAAAAACTATAGATGGACGTTTTCATCTGTGTTTTCTTTTAATGACCCAACTTTATTTGTCCGGCGACCAGCAACAGAATAGGGGCTGACACGGCAACCACTTAAGAACAAGATGACACCTAATGCTGTCAGATAAAGAGCTAACGTTTACGGCTGTTGTTTCGACTGTTGTTACAACTGTTGTTTCGGCTGTTGTTTCGACTGTTGTTTCGGCTGGTTATCGTTGTTGTTTTTCTTCATCGTCTGTTGTTTCGACTGTTGTTTCGACTGTTGTTTCGACTGTTGTTTCGGCTGTTGTTTCGGCTGTTGTTTTGACTGTTGTTACGGCTGTTGTTTTGACTGTTTATCGTTGCTGTTTCTCTGACAGGATCCGTCCAGGAATCATAAGTCCTACAGAGACCTGATCAGCAGCCTCAGACCTCCACTGATCCCATTCACACCTCTGCTGCTCAAGGGTACACACACACACACACACACACAGACACACACACAGACACCCTGACCTCCTGACCTCCTGACCTTCTGACCCTCACCTCCGTCTCCTCCTCCCCTCAGACTTGACGTTTCTCCACGAAAGCTGTAAAACCTTCTACGGTGAGATGGTCAACTTTGAGAAGATGGTGAGTCCGGAGCTGCAGCCGAGGCCGATTTCACCCCAGATTATAATCTGGGAGGATTTTACGTTTGTGAATCTGTTTCTTCTTCCTGTCTGACTTCCTCTTCCTCTCTCCCATCTATCGTGGTTCCTTCGTTCACCTGGTCTTCTGCAGCACAAAGTGGCAGAGATGGTGAGGACCATCAGGAGATACCGCAGCAGTCAGCTGGGTAACGCACGTTTATTATCATCGTCAGCCGTTTGTTTTTTCACCTTCACTCCACTTTTTATCTCACAGAGAACATGAACATCTGTGTCGTTTTATTTCCCAGCCGTGGACACCGAGACGTCTCCGTCACACCTGCAGACCAAGGCCTACGTCCGACAGCTGCAGGTCATTGACAACCAGAACCTTCTGTTCGACATGTCCTGCAAATTGGAGCCCAAGGACACGTAAGAGACAAGAAGAAGAAGAAGAAAAACCAGGAGGAAGATCCCGTTTCCTCACCTGGTCCACCACCAGCCTCAGAGCCGCCGTCGTCCTCCAGGTCCAGTCCCAGACTTTTATCAATCATCACCTACTGGAGCTGAGATCAGACACTCCACCGCTTTTATAATCTCTCATTGTCGGCAGTGAAACGGTCTGCGATGTTCCGCCAGAACTCGCAGAACTCTACGACCGTCCTGCTGTAAGCTAGCTAATCCTTCTCTTAGCCTGGCTGCTAAACAAATCAGGACCTGTTAGCGGGAAGCTGGTACCTCCTGCTAAAGTTGATGCTTTCACTTGTCGTCGATGGTCCAAGGAGGAAACGTTGGACGTGTGACGCAGGACGTCATTGACACGGGCTCAGCCAATCAGACTCACACGTTCTTTTCAGTTCATTCAGGGTCAGGACTTCGCTCATCTTTGGTTATTTAATGTCAACCAGGAGTGGTATTGTTAATGTGAAACATTAGCTCATATAAGCTTCGCTCGTGGCAACCATATATTGCTAATGGAAGCATCTGGTGTTTTTAACTTAATGGCTAGCCGTTGCTCTTTGTTATTTCTCAAATTGGTCACGTGAAAGGTTCAATGCTGCTACCAATGTTGCCATCTAAACAGCTGACGTCAGTTACTCTTTTGTTTGGTGACTTAATAGCATTGTTGTTATTATTATAGCTATCGTTAGCTACTTTCACTACCGAATATTTATTGGCTCTAAGTTTCACTGCCATCTGTCCATGTCACGGTTGGAAACCTAATAATTATAGTCAGCTAATCGCCCTAACTGAATAAATGTGGTTAGCTACTAGCACTGTTGATAACAAGCTACGTTTGTCTAATATTACGTTTGTAACAGTGGTAGCAATCGTGGCTACTTTAAGTGTTGGTTAATTAATAGCCAAATCTGCTGTATAGCATCTTTGTCACAGTTAGCTACTGTTTGCGACTTTGCACTTTGACGCTAATCTCTGTCAGAAAATTAAATTTGATTCAATTGTTCAACAGCTCGGCTGGAACAAACCAAAAAAAAGCCTTTGCGCTCCCCCCTGGTGGTCAGCGCAACTAATGACACCCTAAAATGTTAAGCAAAAGCATATTTCTTCTTACATTTATTTTTTCTACAGGAGGCAGCCAATCAGATGCTCTGACATCTTTACTCACAGCTGATCTCATTTAATCTACAGGAAATGGGTTCAACTCAACAATCATTTTTTTTATATGTCTATTTTCTGGGAAATAAAACGGATTAATTGACCGCATTGAGTGACCTCGGCGCTACCTGTGCTGATGATGTCATTCGCCCAAAATAAACCCAACACGGAGCACGGAGTGGACTCTTGTCACTCAGGAAATCAGGATTTATTTTTTCAATCAAACCGTGGACACAGAGGACGGATCTGGACGTGAACTGACCGTCCTGGAGGCACGTGTCTGACGGGAAGACTCTCTGGGATTTTAGCTGATGATGACAGGTGTGTTTGCTGATGCCACTTGGGAAGGACGCCCCTGCTGGACATCGGTGGTGTTGTCTGTTTCCGGGACTTTGAGTTAAGATAAACGGAATCATCTCTTATTTTCTCCACGACTCGAAAGTGGTCCACGAGCCAAACCCCTCGGTCGACCGGCTGCTCAGATCGACTCGTGTCCACCAAAGCACTTTTGCTCCAAAAACCTCAGGGGCTCAGAGACACGGAGAGGTTTTCAGTTCTCGTCCCACCTCCAGGGTTTCTGTTTTCTTAGTGTTTTTATTTTCTGGTTGGTGTGTTTGTACAGATGATTTAACGTGAGTCATGTTTACTACAATAAGTGTGTGTGAGTGCATGTGTGTGTGTTTGTGTGTGTGTTTGTGAGAGAGACATAAACACCAGGTCACAGTCTCACACCAAATTCATTTTTAGCTTTAACAATGCAAAAAAAACAACAACAACTTTCCACGGCAAAAAAAAAAAAACAACAACAACTTTCCACAGCTCAGAGATATTTCAGGGTTTTTAAGTTTGTCGTAAAAGGATTCTGCATAGACACAGCTGAATGAAGTGTGAGCGCCCCCTGCTGTTAGCAGCACCTTGAAACAGTGCATCTAACATGTATTTGTCTTTTCCCCGCGGTTAGACTTCAGTTTTTGTCACTCGTCACTCCCTCACACCAAACCTCAAAGGAAGAAAATCTATGATTTTAGTTTGAGGGGGCAAAGAGCAGCTGGTCCACTGCTGCCTCCTGTGGTCGGTCTGTGTCACTGACATATATGTGAACAAAGAAGCTCACGTTTTGTCTGTGTTTCCCCTCTAACATCTTGCTAGCTTGTACCTTCGACCTTCAGGTGATGAAAAGCAGCTGCTTTGCTCGTCACTGGGTTGTTTTGAAGTTTTTAGCTTACTATTATGAAAACCATTTTGGGGTTAGCCTAGCACCCGCTGTCTTTTGGCTGGCTAGCTGTTGCTAACGTGTTGATCTAATTGGGGTTTTCGCTAAACCAACTATTTATTTTCTTCTGTCAGTTTTACTGTTTTACTTCAGCCTAAATTCTGGTTCTGGGGTTAAATTATAATGATAAAAAAAAAACTCTGCTGCAGCCAATCAGAACTCTAAACCTGAGAGTCCCTCGTTAGCCTGTTAGCTTAAGGCTGAGTGCTGTGATGCTAGTGCGAAAAAGCCTGAAACTAAAGAGTTTGTACATGTTTTGCAGCCATGTAAATACACAACACTAAGGAAGATTCTATTTTAGGTACGAGATGTTGTGCTAGCACTGAGAGAGAAAAAAGAATTTGGTGTTTTTTAAATTATTCACGAGGTGAAGTTTGGAGAGAGAAGAATAAATGAAACATTTATGAATTGTACAGATGTCACATGGTATCGTTTGGTTCTTTTTCTTCTTCTTTGGTTTTTGTACCAGTGTTTGTTTACATCAGTCACACCGTGTGACCAGAGCAGAGCTCGGGGATGTTCGTTTTTAAAGAAGGATGTGACTTCATAAAAAAAAAAAAAAAAAAAAAAAACCACATCACAGAAGATAAATTCTTTGTACTTAGACTTTTCAGAAACCGTAAGTCCAGCAGAGTCAGGCGACTTTTTAAAATGCCCATTAGACTAAAATATACGGTTTTGAAATCACCTCTCAATTTTTCAGTTATATATAATATTAAATAATATATAACCAAAAAAAAGAGAGCGATAACTGCTAACAGGTTTAGGGAAAAGCGACCACCAAAGTCTTTGTCTTGATGACTAAGGACAAATTTGACTCAAATTTTGACAGTTTAGCTGAGAGCTAGTCATGAATCTTAGCATTTACCTGCTAAGTGGAGACATGTCTAGTTTTGAAATAAGCTTTGTAATAAATTGCAATTTTATCAAACTTTTAGTTAAAAAAATATTTTTATTATAAGACACCGTAATCCGTTAGTAAAGTTGTAATTTTATAAAGAAAATCTGTTTTTTGTTCGGAAAAAAAAATGTAAAAATTGTTGTTTTGTATTTTTAAAAAAAGTAGAAAAAAGTATTGAATTTCTGCTATATTAACTTTATCTTCCCAAATGTGTTTTGTTTGCTAGATTTCTTTATAAAAATACAACTTTAATTTTGTTTCATCACCAAACCTTCGGCACGTCTTTAGATCTGGATTGCGGGGCATTTGATCTCGTTATTGTCAGAGTTCTTATCTCTAATAAATGTTTAATTTTGAACAGTTTACAAGTTTAAAGTGTATTTGAATTACTGAATTATTCATACAATTATCAACGAAGAAAAAGACTTGATGTGAATAACAATAAATAAAGATCGAATCAATAATAAACGTTGGATTTGGCTGAACATTTTTATTTGGATTCATCTCATCTGTGCTCTTTCGCTCCCCCTACTGGTAGACTGCAGACAAACGACTGACTGCTAATAAGGACTGGAAAAAAAACAGCTCAATTTTCTCTCCTTATCACCATCACTTCATCCAGACATGGATGCAAAGGACATGTGGCAGCGTGGTGGTTAGTGCCTTACAGTAAGAAGGTCAACGGTTCAATTCCGTTCTGTGTGTGTCAGGTTCTCCAGCTTCTTCCCACAGTCCAAAAACATACAGATTGGGGATTAGGTTTATGTCACCACTTTATCACTTCTCATGGTCTCACCATAGGTGTGAATGTGAGTGTGAATATAGGTGTGAATGTGAGTTTTCCCCCAGGACCCTCAGAAGGACTGATTTATTCTGTTGTTGTTTGAACTTTTAGATTCTTTTTTTTTCTCTTCACACAGTTGCCAGATGCTCAATCTTCAAGGACGATGATAAAAACGGTTTCACACCGACGCAGATCAGATCATCGCTCCACTAACGATGCTCGCCACTCGGCTCAGTGCTGCTCACCGATTGGTTGAAGGTCAGTTTTTTTGGTATCAACATATATATTTATTTTTGGGTTGAAGGTCAGTTTTATTGGTATCAACATTGTATATATTTATTTTTTGGGGTTTTTAACCAAAATTTTGACATCTTGGAATCTTGGGTTTGGTCTGGTTTGGTCTGGTTTTTCTCGTTGTTGGCGTCTGCGATCACTGAGCTGCGTACAGTCAGACTTTTCATCTAGTTTTGGTAACAGGAGAATCCTCACAGCTGTGGTTCTGCTGCTCCAACAAGATTCCACCTCCAAGATGAGAAGAAGTCTCAAGTGCCGATTGGTAAGCTGGGGAAAGTGTGACCATGTGTGTGTGTGTGTGTGTGTGATAATTTGTGCTGATGAAGACGCCACCTCTAGGACCGAGGTCTGGACCCCCATTATCCCCCTGAGACCAGCCTAGGTTTCCAGACCTGATTAGGAGACAGTTTATATTTAGGGTCTGAAGGATCCCTAACAGAAGGAATTGTTTCCATGACAACAGCAGGGGCTGCTTTTACACAACAGCTGTATTTACACGAATCACAGCAGTAAGCACCCGCGCTTTCTCTGCCGTCATCAGTTTCGCTCTCTTTCCCCTCAGGCCGAACCCCGTTGGAGAAAAATCAGTGATTTTAGTCAAACCTGCCCATTCCAAACGATTCTCCTTCAAAAAGAGAGGAACTGGTTACGTCAAAGCTCGTAGGAACAAATGGACAGTTTTTAGCTCAGAGTTCTTCACACCAAACCTCATGGAGAAAAGCAGAGATTTTTAGTCCCTTCAACCGACACCTGAGTGGACAGTTCTCTGTGTTATTTAACTGAAGTTTCTGGAAAGGTGAACCGAAGATCTGAAACTGAGCCTGGTCCTCTCCATACGTACGTGGAGACTCCTCCCCCCTCCTCCCCGTCCCTCCCACAAATCCAGTCTTTAAATAGAGCTCCTCCCCGCTCCTCGACCTCGGTGACCGCTGTCCTGCCACAACTGACCAAGTCCAACCCCATCCATCTTGAAGCCAAGGTAGAACTCTCTCTTGTCTTAACTTCAGATCAATGACTTTTTGTTAGAAAGTTTTTTTTACCAGACGCTTTTTCTGACTGATTTCAGAGATTTACTGTAATATCACAAAGTATCACAGATTTTTTTCCCCTCAACTAATATCACAAAGTATCACAGATTTTTTCCCCTCAACATTCTGACTTATTAAAGTGGGGTTTTTCATGCAGTATTTTGACTTTGATTGGACTTCTGTCAGATTTTCATCGGGTTTTTTTTTCATGCAGTATTCTGACTTTAATTGGACTTCTGTCAGATTTTCATCTGTGAGATAAAAGTTAGAATTTTTCATCTTTAGAAAGTTTTTATCCCAGAGTTTTTTTTTTTTACTTCCACCTGTGGCTCTCGGACACAGCAGAGTTTCAGCTTTCCTTTTCTGAGATCTTCAACTTTAACTGAAGGATTCTGGTGGTGAAGAAGCTTCGATCTTACTAAACAAGAACTGCTGTAAAACACACATTAAAAACACATTGTTTGTTTTATTTGTTTGAATCAATCTACTGTAAACGCTGATCTATTTAAACCACTATTGTAGAGTTTGGTGTCATGTGACTGTCGTTCACGTGTCGTCCTACTCTGACACACAGGACGTCTGAAGACAGCTGCACACACTCTGTGTGTGTGTGTGAGTGTGTGTGTGTGTAGAACTGCTACACGAACAGCTGTCAGTTACAGTAGGAGACAGAATTAACAGCCTGTCCTGAGAAACAGAAATAGAAAAAATATCCACGTGTTTCTGAACATCCATTCATTGTGCCGTTCATCTTCAGCCTCTTCAGCCTCTTCAGGTCAGTAGGGGGAGCTTTTATTCACCTGGTTTCTCTAGAGAACGTTCTTCATCAGACTCAGCCTGCACTCCGTTTTTCTGAGATCTTCAGACTCAGCTTTTCTTGATAGATTGTTTTGGGGTTTTTTTGCCTCTAAAATCATTGATTTTTGTGTGTGTTGTTGCAGACATGGAGCGAACCTTCATTGCAGTGAAGCCCGATGGCGTCCAGAGGGGACTGTGTGGCGACATCATCAAGCGTTTCGAGCAGAGAGGTTTCAGACTGGTCGCTGCCAAGTTCATGCAGGTAAAGACTGAAGAAAACACAGTCTGGTTTGAGTGGATCCACGTGACCTACAAAAACTTGGTCTTTTTGGATGTGAACCATTGTGTCTTTGACCCATGATGTTTGATGACCATGAGTTCTCTGTGTTCAGGCCTCTGATGACCACATGAAGAAGCACTACCTGGACCTGAAGGACAAGCCTTTCTATGCTGGACTCTGCAAATACATGTCCTCTGGACCCATCCTCGCCATGGTACCACAAACACGTCCTTTTTTTTAGGGAATATCTCAGGCTCCGAAGTCTGTCCGTTTTATTGTTCTGGCCGTTGTGTTTGCAGTGATCTTGTTGATTTTGGTCTTGAAGCCATCCTCGTCGTGCCTACAACTGTTTTGTGTGCGTTTCAGGTGTGGGAGGGACAGAACATTGTGAAGTTGGCCAGGATGATGCTGGGTGAGACCAACCCTGCTGACTCCAAGCCCGGCAGCATCCGTGGAGATCTCTGCATTGACATCGGCAGGTGAGCGAGCGCACATTCAGTCGTATTTACACTGTTGAAAAAAAATCTGTGTTAACATCAAACCTGTCTTTTTGTCAGAAACATCATCCACGGCAGCGACACTGTGGAAAATGCCAAGACTGAGGTCGACCTGTGGTTCAAGGCAGAGGAGTTTGTCTCCTACACCCCCTGTGCCCAGCCCTTCCTGTATGAGTAAACTGGCCAATCAGCAGCCTGTAAACTAGACCCCGCCCCTGTCACAAACACTCCCCCAACAGTCTCTTACCTGCCAGCTGGGATTTTCTACCAAAATCTTTTGAAATATGTAGCAATGACCAATAAAGTCTCATGGCAAAAATGTCTCGGTCTAATTTGATGAGAAACATGCAGAAAAGATACAATTTTGAATTTTGTTTTTCAAAAAATGTCATCATAATTGTTTACCATCTGACCACATGACACATAAAATTAGGATTTTACCAAAAGGCTTTAAAAATTTCTAAAAAAAATCTCAAATATCTCTAATTTGATGAGAAACATGCAGAAAAAGATAACATTTAGTAAGTTATTTCTAAAAAATGTTATCCTATTTTTTCACCATCTGACCACATGGCATGAAATTAGGGTTTTACCAAAAAATTCCAGAAAAAAATTCTCAAAATGCTCTAATTTGATGAGAAACATGCAGAAAAGTTAAAATTTTGAAAATTTGTTTTCCAAAAATTTGGAAAAAATATGGCAACAACACAAAGTATTAGTTCAGGGACTTGTGTGTTTAAGTGAAGCAACTTAATTAAAGTGTAAAGAATTCAAGGAAGCAGTGATACTATTTTTATGTCCATTGTTAGAAAAAGTCGGAGAAACATTATTAACATTAGCATTTATGCAATTGACAACAGTTCTGTCGTTCTGTAAGAATATAACCTGAAGACCAAATATGTATAACACAGATTTACTTGCGAAGGCGGCACCGGAACCACAATAGATGCCAGTTCCGGTCCAGTCTAGTAAGCCCCGCCCTGCCGCTCTGGTGCCATCTTGTGTTTAGCCAGAACAAAAACGGTGTAAGAAAGAAGTGCGGCGTCAGGAAGCGGCCTGATTAATTTCTAAAAGGGACACATTTCTAATTTGTGTGTTTGAGGAAAGCCTGCGATAACATGAGCACTAACCTGTCCGGAAATGTCTTAGTGCAAGGAAAAAGCAGCCACACCCCAGAGCGCTGCAGCTAACCTTAGCTTCGAGCTAACGAAACCAGCTAATCTTGTTAGCCCAGGCCACAGCGGAGAGATCTAAAGTTCGATCTAAACTGACCGCTGGGATCGCACCTTTTCAGTGTACCGCCGCGACTCGGACGTCCGCTCGGGCGGGATGGAAATGTGGGTGTTAGCGCAGAGAAACCCCGGGCAATGAATCTGCTACGTCGCTAACTGCTAACGGTTGTTTGTTCGGACCACAGCGGAAGCTCCGTAAAGCCGCGGTAAGTAACATTGTTAGTCTCAGTTACACAGATTGTCCCTGATTTCCCCTCCATTGCGTTTAAAATCTATAATAATTTCAGTGAAAGAATGGTTTGTTTTTAGTCATTCGGTGAAAGTTTCGTCTGTGTATTTTCTGTTTGGAACAGGGTTGTCAGCCTCACACTCAAGCTTTGCTCATTTGTTTGCCAGTTAAGTCTAACTAAACCTGAGAATGTTCCAGACCGACCCGGTCGCAGTTTGTCTGAAACAAATCCTCCACCAAGTTAAAATGTTTGTAAGCATTTAATCATCTCAGGAACCAGAGAATCCGTTTCAAATAACCTCACCACATTTCGACAGCAGCTGTAAACATGTGTCTTATATCTATTTATTTAACTGTGCATCGAACTATATATGTTTAAGTCTCTCCAGTTTAATGTGAACCGGTTTTGTGAATTCTGAATTGAACCCCGGTGCAAAGATGTGATGGGATGAATGAAGGAAACGAAAACACATCTGCACAGCAACTTGACTTGTCTGGTTTCCAGAGGATGAATAACGGAACCAGTTGATTCCATAGTAAACTGGGTTTTTTTCGCAGAGATGTGTCATTCAGAAGACCAGACACTTGGGATACTGACACCATTTCTTAATCAGGCTGGAATGAAGAGACGTGTCAAAGTCACCTCTGTGAAGTATGTAGAGATTCTCACCGAGAATCAACTGGCCTTGTGTAAAGATATAGACAGGAAATGTGGGCTAAAACTCACAGTTTAAGTTCGTCATGTGGCGAGCAGTCTGCAGCTGATATACATCACATTCGGAGAAATTCTCCACACAGTCAGACCACACACACGTACACCATCAGTCACAGTTAGATAACCCTGTGTGTACCACATAGACAAGCAAATACAGAGATGAAAACGTTGTCATCCTACTGTGAAAAGTACAGCTGTCGTTACAGTCATATTCACACAGTCTGAGGTTCTTCAGCAGCAGCAGCAGCATCACAGAGCTGCTCAGGGTCATGTCTCCTCTGTTGCTTTTCTGACACGCCTGAGGTTCTTCAGCAGCAGCAGCATCACAGAGCTGCTGACAGTGTACACGAGAGCTGCTCAGGTTCATGTCTCCACTGTTGTTGTTCTGACACAGTCAGACAGTCATTTTGTTGAACGTTGTCCCAAGGTTATACACATTGTTCTTGATTTGGGAAGTCTGGCAGTGCAGCAGGACACCTCCACTGTCATCCTCCAGGAACATTAGGAACCGATTGGCCGTAGAACTTGTCTCAAAGTCACGAAGACTTCGTATTGTTATGATAAGTTGCCATGTAGGGTAGCAGCTGAGATGGTCTTTAATTAGTTGACTTCAGGATCATTTACAACAAGGTCTGTTACACGCACTACCGTTCTTGGTCTGTGTATCATTTGGTGAAGAAGGTCAGTGAGGGCAGATCAATAAGGGGTGTCAGAAAATATTGATTCACTGAAATATCACTGTATTTCATTTCATGTTGCCATATAGATATTCTTCAGTACGACACAATTTTTTTGTGTTAACAGTTAATGTGTAAATATTCATTTTATTTAGCTTTTCATGTCTTCTCTAGTGTTTACACGTGTAGATTCCTCTGTTCCACTTTGAGGAACTTAATGCTGAGCATTAAACAGTTTGTGTAGTCCTGTATGGTTGGACCTGTTCTTACAGATGATCTGATTCTTGTTTCTGAGTCTAAAGTCCTTTTCTCTAAGCACAATCACAGGAACAGCTGGAGTCCCGTTCAGTTCAGTCTGTCAACACGAAAAGAAGATTTCCACAGTTGTTACCATGTGAATATCTGCACTGTGAACTGCACACTCACACATTAGTCATGGCATTTTAGGTTAGAAGAATCTGTGACTAACACACACCCAGACCCAGCTGTTGGTGCTAGAATAAAGATGGACACGGCTTTTCCAGGATCTTCATCCTGTCATCCTTTCTGTTTGCCAGGCCCTGGCCATGCCCTCAAGTGCACGGGCGGGTAACCTGAAAGACCCAGACCTGGCTGACCTCTTCTGTAAAGATGACCCTGAGAAACTTTTTGCCGACCTCCGTGAGATCGGCCACGGCAGCTTCGGAGCGGTGTACTTCGTGAGTTGGCTCCTCTGAGCGTTAATCCATGATGATGCAAGACTGTCATTTCATCAGAATATTGGTTTGACCTCTGACCCCTGTTCCTTGGTGTGACTGATTCCTGCAGGCCAGAGATGTGCGCAACAATGAGGTGGTGGCAATCAAGAAGATGTCCTACAGCGGGAAGCAGACAAACGAGGTGACCAATCAGGACGAAACTCAGTCACATGTTTCCCCCTGTAGCCACGGGGGATGCTACGCCTCTTTAGCACTGACCTGGTAGAAAGACGGCTGACTGTGAGCTGCAGACAGCGTCTTCAACTGTTAAACTGTTTAGCTGCAACACAGTTAGAGTTCATGGAACTGAAACATCTGTAGTCCAGCAACATACAACGACCTAACTGTTATGGACAAATCTAAGATTGGTCAAAGTCACAGACGGGTTTGGTGGGATGTAGTCCGAGGTCAGAAGTGACTCGGGGCTTTAGTGAGGTAACTCTGAGTCTGAGCAGTGACAGGAGCCTGTGTTTGTGTGCAGAAATGGCAGGACATCATCAAGGAGGTCAAGTTCCTGCAGAAGCTGCGACATCCCAACACCATCGAGTATGTGGGCTGTTACCTGAAAGAACACACGGCATGGGTGAGTAGGGACAGAATGTCGCCTCCTTCAACTCTGCTGGGACTGGAGGTTGATGCTACAGTGCCACATAGTGGTCATTAACTGTCCTGATAGTAATAAGGAGCAACAGAGTTCATTGTTCTTAGTTGTTTATAAATATCAAATGAGGAAGGAAGAAGTTCAAGTGTTGGGAGGGATAAAAGGAAGGAGGAGGTGAACAGTTGTCAACGTGGGTTTTAGAAAAGAGGAAAGGAGAAAAAGCATTCAAGACGTCAAGATGGTGGAGACAAAGGAGACAAGGAAGGAATTAAAAAATGGAACAAGTAGGAAGTGTGTGGAAAAGGGAGGTAAAAGATGTAAAGATGGGAGTTAAAAGAAATAATAATAAAGCAAGTTTAGAAATGAATCACTTTTGACACCGTGAGGTTGATGGTTCTGTTCCCTCTCTCCAACAGCTGGTGATGGAGTACTGTCTGGGCTCGGCCTCTGACCTCCTGGAAGGTCAGTCAGACACTGAACACCTCTGTCTGCTTTAATCCATTAAAAATGAATGACCGACCAAATTTAGCAGAAAATAACTGTGTCCGTTCCTCTCATCTTTTTCTATCAGTTCACAAAAAGCCGCTGCAAGAAGTTGAAATTGCTGCTATTACCCATGGTGCACTGCAGGGATTAGCATATCTCCATTCGCACAATATGATTCACAGGTATCTTTTTTCTCGAACACTTGATGGTTTCCTGGCGCGGTGGCTTGAGTTTCCTGTTGCGTCGGTCTGTCTGAGTGTGAACTACCTCCTCTTCAACTGCTCTTTCTCCCACAGGGACGTGAAAGCAGGAAACATTCTGTTGACGGAACCCGGCCAGGTCAAACTTGGCGATTTTGGTTCTGCCTCCATCGTGGCTCCGGCCAACTCATTTGTGGGGACCCCCTACTGGTGGGTTTTAACATCACACCTGCTCCAAGAGCAAATTTTCCCGTCATGTCTAATTTTATTATTACTAAATACAAGAAACAAGCAAAACATAAAAAATGTTGTTTTTAAACATTTTTTTTTGTTTGGGTCAGAGTCTTTTTAAGAGAAAAGTAAATGTTAGTAACTACCAGTGTGACAGCAGTGGCTCCGACCTTACTTGTCTGACCTCCATGTCCCAGGATGGCTCCAGAGGTGATCCTAGCCATGGACGAGGGCCAGTACGACGGGAAGGTGGACGTCTGGTCTCTGGGAATCACCTCCATCGAGCTGGGTGAGATAAAGTTGTCAACACAGAGACAGAACCTTTGTGTGTGTGTTTACAGGACCTAGACACAGCAGCATAAATTGTGTAGAAACTCAGGGCAGTCGTTGGGTGTGACTGAACTTCTGAAGGTCTTTACTCTTCTCTTCACCCCCTCCTCCCCTCTTTTGCTGTTCCTCCTTCGTGTCGTCCACAGCGGAGAGGAAGCCGCCACTCTTCAACATGAATGCTATGAGTGCCTTATATCATATTGCTCAGAATGAAAGTCCCGTCCTTCAGTCCAACCACTGGTGAGAAATTTTTTTTCCTTCAGTCCAACCACTGGTGAGAACTCTTTTTTTCTCCCCATACTTTTTACTTTCTCTTCTGCTTCTTCTTTTCTATCTCTTATTTCTTTTCTTCTTTCCTTCTGTCCCCTGCGCCTCCCCCTGACCTCGGCTCCTCCTCTTTCATTCACTCATTACTGTGTCTTCTCCCCTGCAGGTCTGATTCCTTCCGTAACTTTGTGGACTCCTGCCTGCAGAAGATTCCTCAGGACAGGCCTACCTCAGATGTGCTGCTCAATGTGAGAACGTCCTCCTGTAAACGTCATCAGGTTCACACCTCTGTGTTGCTCCTCACACACCTGTTGTTCTTCTCCTCCTCCAGCATCGCTTCCTGTGCCGAGAGCGTCCACTGACCGTGGTCATGGATCTGATCGCGCGGACCAAAGATGCGGTGCGGGAGCTGGACAACCTGCAGTATCGTAAGATGAAGAAGATCCTCTTCCAGGAAACACAGCAGAACGGCCCTGTGTCTGAGGGAGGAGAGGATGAGGAGGTGAGGGATTTCTGTCCTGTCAGATATGATGACGTTTATGAACATCGGCTCTAAACATTCAATAGAACAGGAAGAACCTGGAACTGTTGAATGGAACTGTTATCCATGGAGCTGTTATACGTCTCTGTGCAGAGGTTTTAGGAAGTGAAAGAAGAAATGAGAAACACAAATCACAGCAGTTTCTTTACTTTCTTCACAGCTGCTCAGTTCATCTGTCTGTCCCTTCTTTCCCTCCGTGTCTCAGGAGGTTGAACAGTACCTGCTGAGGACCGGTACTGTTAACAGCATGGAGAGTTCCCAGTCGGTTCCCAGTATGTCCATCTCTGCCAGTTCTCAGAGCAGCTCAGTCAACAGTCTGGCCGACGCCTCAGACGACAGCGGTGGTGAGATGGCCATGATGCAGGAGGGCGAACACACCGTCACCTCAAACAGTTCCATCATCCACCGACCCACGGTAACATGTGCCTCCGCCCAGACTTTATCACCATCAACCCACTGTATGAAGTAGTCCACCACTGACACTCTTCTCATTCAGGGTCAGGATAACATCTACGACGACCCCTACCAGCCTGAGATAGAACAGCCTCAGGTTCCTTCGGCCGGGCGTCGTCGAGCGTATTTCAGAAACAGGGATCACTTTGCCACCATTAGAACAGCTTCTCTGGTAAATCTACAGGGTTGACATTCCAGACCTCTTTAAAAAACACTTTAATATGATATGATATTAAAACAAATCTACGGATTTGATC